GATATTGTCTTAAAGGTTTATACTTGTCCCTCCATATTAATGCGTACGGTGGGTAACCCCCACATCTTCCGCTGGTGACGATGAATCGATCTACTAGCTGACAGAAGGAACGAACATCCTCATGCTTGGCACTTGGGTACTCTGGTATGCGCCGATTCACACGTAGAAAAAACTGCAGGATAGGACTTTCTTTTAAAGACAAACATCCACCGTGCTAAAGTTTGGGGTCCCTGAAAATAAGGCTTATCTGCTAGTGGGTTCTGTCATGTGACTAATTGAAATCCACTACTGTATTTGGCGACCGTGAATTTACCCTGTTTCTTACTTGTGGAGCACTGCGGATTGTGCTCGTGTGTTTGCGTCTCCTGAGGTAAAACAGCTTGGCATCATCAATTCCAGTCCAAAGGATTAAGCCTTCTTCTACTGCTTGATCTGTGCTCAAATTTGATGATTCTTCCCTTTCTAAGAGGATCGATGGCATTCTGACTTAGTTATTCAATATGAGTTCTCGGCGCTCAGTCTCAACCAGACGCAATGGAAAGCCTTGCTCGTGCGAGCCTTGTCGGATATCAAAGATTCGCTGCGACCACAAAACTCCCGTCTGCGACAGATGTGTCGTCCGTCAGAAAGAAAATAGCTGTGTTTATCATCCTGCGCCGATGACCAAACCGCGCGACAGGCCTAAGTCTGGACGGCCGAAAAGGCGGCCCTTGGGCTCTTCGGGCCTGAGATCCCTGCCCGCTCGTAATAACTCACTGAGAGAGAGCATATCTTCATCATCAACAGTCAGGACTATTCCTCGAGCAGATACTCAATTCTTCGGCTCGACAGCCTTCCCAGCAATTATCAGTGACGATCAAAATGTTGTGGGTCGCTATCTGGGGCAGCTCTCTGCCCAGGAGTTTTCTTCCGGTGCAGATTGTCCAAACTATCAGGAGAAGTACACAGAGAAACAGATTTCAGAGGGTACTAAGGTGTTGAATTTGCTGTTCGAGTTTCCAGGGTTTGCAGACAGTATTTGCAGATACCTCGAGCTTTCCCATACGTGCATGGTGCCACATCCATTTATCAAGGCTTGTATCGAATCGATACAAGATACTATGCAAAGATCTAGGGGCAATCGGTTGAGACAACTTGTTGTGACTCTGTTCGCAAACACTGCCAAGCCTTTAGATGCCTTTACAACTCTGCCGGCGGAGGACTATCACACCTTGTTCACTGGGCCTAATATCAGATGGGAGATCATTGGCTTCGTCCTTGCCATCCTTGGAGTGTCACTCAAATATGACGTCAATAAACGAAGCAAACCCTCAGAAACATCACGATCTGACCAGAAGCCGGATTTCATTCATCGACTCGCTGAAGGTGTCGATTATTGTACGGCCGTTTGTAACAATTACAATTGTGTTAGCCCCCAAGCATTATGGTTACTTTATGGGAATGCCTGCTTGAAGAACCTGGTCTACGGTGACATGAGTAAGTGGCATCGGATAGACTCGATACTGGTTCGTAGGGACTATATACTGATTGTATAGGCTTCCAATTATGGCGCTGCATGGGCGATGTCTCAAGCATGTTCTTCGCGCTCGGACTTCACCAGGAGGACTCCGGACTCGAGGCAACCTATCCTTTCTACCAAGTTGAGTTGAGAAGGAGATACGCAGCCCAGATATATTCAATGGACAAAACAATCAGTACATTCCTCGGCCGCCCGCCCAGAATTTCGGGATCCTACTGCGCCAATACCATGCCCGCTGATATTGACGACGAGATACTGTTGCTAGAGGGAGACGAACTAGATAATGCATTACGCAATGTCGATGCGAACGGCTGGAATATGGATCGACAATTTCGTGGTGCAACCTGGAGACGGATAAAGCTAATTATCAGCCAGTTTCGGGAGGAAATACTTGGACTTTGTCTCGGTACGCGACTCTCTATTGGAAATGAGGCTTTGGCAAGGTGAGTACTCTTTGCTCTCCGGTAAGCTCTAAGTTATTAATCAAACCTCGATAGGGACATACTGGCTCGACAAGAAGCTGTATGGGACCAGATTCCACAAGATCTCAAGTACGACGAAATCACTGGATCTCAGCACATACCTCCTCCTCAGCGATATGTTGTGATGACTACATACATGGATCAAAAATACACATGCTTCTTATTGCATCGAAAGCTTTTGAACGAGACGGAGTGGACGCGGGAGCCATTGTACAGGATTTCGAGGTCACTGCTGAATACAGTCTTGCAGGTAGTGTCGCTCTCTGATCAGGTGTCCAACATGCAGCGAGATATATCTTGGCCTGTAAGTGCTACTAATTGTCTTTTTTGTTTGATACACAACTGAATTTCTCGGAAGATGCTCTATTACGGGCTACCAGGAGCCAGTATCCTGGCAGTGGACCTATTGAAGCACCTGCATCCTTCATTCAACACTTCCAATCCGGAAATTAAGGTGATTCCTCGAGCCGAAGTTATACAAAACCTCGCTGTGTTTGTCTCAAATCTTCAAAGAAGCATCAATCGAAGAGAAGTCAACGGTGAATCTTGCAGACGGGCCCATGGAATCTTGTCCCGGATCTTGGATGAGATAATCGACCCAACAAACGGCCAGTTGGCAGTTTTAGATATGGAAGTACAGCAAATGCCGAACAGCACACCGTTTCCATTTACCTCTGGAATTGACAGTGACCTCAATATCGATAACTTCTTCAGTCAGATTGGGAACTGGGATTTGGCGCTTGACACTTCGGCCATCGTGCTATAGTTGCCTGGAACGAACAGGCTTACAGAAATGCTGTTGTGCCAGTTTGCCAGCCACAGCAGTGAGATACAAGAGCCGTGCATCCTACAACCCCATATTGAAACTACTGAGCAGTACGTCAATTATCATTACATTGCTATGTAATGTATAGCTTTGTGCGGGTGAGGTTAACGTCTGTTTCGATAGCATTGAAACCGACCAACAATTTCACAAAAGCCCTATAACAACCTCACCCTTAACTCTCGCATCGAGATTAAGCTGCACTTTTGCACGCAAATTGAGTCGGACTCGGATCTGCAAGCTACCGCTCTTCTCCGGCGTCTCCCACTGCAGATCCGGATCGTCGATGTTCATGTTCATACCACCAGTGGTAATCTCCTTGACGGTGTCCTTGACGCCGCCGGCCTTGTCGCCGACGCCCTTTGTCAAGTTGCCGACATCTCCTACTGCGTCGGTCATCTTTGATCCCGTATCTTGTGGCTGTTCTTGAGAATTGCTTTGATCACGCCCTTGATCGGCTGGGGCTGCTGTTGGATCTGTGGGTGGGCTCTCTCCAGGTCCTTGCTGGTCCCCCTGTGGTGAATCCACTTTTTCTAATGGTGGACTTGAAAGCTTCTTCGACTTCCGTCGCTTGTTGAGCTTTGGTGGTTTTGGAGTGGAGGGCGAAGTTTCTGTTGGGCTTGACGTTCCAGGTGGTTGTTCGCTTTAAGGTTGTAAAGATGTGTTAGCCAAATGTCTTTATTCTATTCATGACACGAGCGATCTCAACAAACGGTGGGAGAAAAGGGTAAGGCTACCTTGACATGAATTCTTCAAACTTACATTGCAGTGTCTTCTGGACCTCTGTCACCCATGTTCTAAGAGTTACAGGAGGACCCTTTTATCCGCGATTAGGCTCGCCGCATTACATGGTGGGATGTAATGGACACCAGTGGGCTTAAAAGATCCACCTATGAATTGGATATCCGCATGATGCCGGTTCCAGCAGAAGTCTTCCGCATCCGGCGAAGGTGCTACTCATTCACACCTTAACTTTGCTGCACACGCGGCATCCAATATGTCATCCAACGTCGCATCGGCACTGCCGAGGAGATGGAATGCAGTGAGGGGCTCCGCAGACGGGCTTCACCGGGGTGACCGAGAATATATGAAAGTCGCAGCAGAACTAGACCTGTTCCCAACAAGAGTCTATGATACTTGCATAGCAGTTTTACGTCTTTTCGAACAACCAGCAGATCATCAGAATCCAAGCTGCCCAACATGGTGTTCTCATTGGTCATGATGTCAACATTAGTGCCCACTATCATAGGGCTGAATGAAGCTACGAAGGGTGCTCGAGATCAGGAGGAAAGCCGCAGAGCCGAATCACGATCACGACGATGTCATCTGGTAGCCACCTGTGAGGAAACCACGGGAACGCCGACTCAAAGACAGCAAGTCCACAATGCTAAAGTGTATCTTGACAAGGACTATAAGGTTTGTTTGACATACAGTTTTGAGGAGCTTTGGCATGACAGGTTGCTGAATGTATTAGATTTACATCATCAAACAGCCAAGCCCTAGCATGGCCCCATTCAATGGACAGTACTACACACACCCAGCTTTCGGACAAGACAACTCGGCCGGCCTTATCTCAATGAGTCCGGAAGAGCCGCCCCTCGCGCGGTGGGTATATCTGGACAAGGAGACAAAGCAATTAAGCTATGGAAACAGAAAGGATAGCGAGGAGAACGTGTGCGGTCCCTTCGACTGGACGGAAGACGAACAATATGTGACTTTGGAGGGGAATGAGCAGTGGCTGGCAGTGCGATTGCCGGATGATGTGCGGAGGGAGCAAGAGTACGAGGATCTGGGTTTGGATGATGATAAGGCAGTGAAGGGTCTTTGGAGGCTTTACTTCGATCGCGAGGGCAATAGTCTGGACCTTCCTGAGGGGACAGAGATGATGAAGATCCGTTTGAAACGAGATCCAGTGGAAGAAGAGGAGGACGACTCCTTCTGAGTTAACCAGTGTCTCCAGAATTGTGGATAGCAAATGATTGGTTGCACTGTTGCAAACGGATGGGCCGACTTGGTGTTGCAGTACTCCGTAGCCAGACTGCGAGGCCGTTTTCGGTAACCCGCCGTAGTACGGAGTCTGTTAGTCATGGGCACAAACAATCCTAGCATTTGTCCGGAGTTACTTCAATCCTGATACATTTTATCTGCCAGCAGACGACTAAAACAAAAACAAAGTGGTATCACATTAACCGAGAAACTTTAGTCTCGCCTCAGACCTATCACCCATCATGACTCCACGTTTCATAACTCATCAGAAGAAAACGTAAATCAGGCTACACCGTCGATCACCGAGTTGGAATGAAATGCTGCGAATCCTTCTCCTGCTCACTAAACGACTCACGGAACGCAGCAATGGCAGCAATGATCGCGATCGCAATGAAAGCAAGAGAAATGAACGACCAGATAACACCCCAGCACTGCGAAGATCCTCCGTATCTCTTAGCGAACTGGCTAGCATCGGACGTGTTGACTTTGCGAAGGATAAGGTCGTCGCACTAAATGCAGTTAGCACACACCCCTATCAAAGCACACACCGAACATGACAAAGAAAAGACTCACAATATCCCAAACACTATAAAGCGCCGACATCACCCCAATAAACAACTATATCCCACAGTTAGCAACCCACCCTAACACCCCAATAATCACAAGAAAGAAAGGGAGCCTACCACCACCCACTTCAACGCCTCCCCATGGGCAATAAACCAACAAGCGACCAACAACCCGACCGCCAACAAAATCGTAATGATAGTCAACCAATCCCTGCGCGCCCACCAAAGCGTGAGCAAAAAGCACACTCCCAGAACAATACTAGCGACTTTACTCGCGACGATATCAAAGCCCGCGAAAATCAACAGCGACCCGATAATCGACGACCCCAGGTATCCAGCAGGTAATGTCACGGCGCTCATTCCTCCTTGCATGTGCGTGACGCCGCCTTCGTGCGGGTCGAGCGAGATGGATTTCACGCGCCCGCCTGTGCAGCAGGCTGTTATGGCGTGGCCGAATTCGTGGAAGGCGATTACTAGCATCTATACATTTGTTAGTATTATTTCTTGGGTAGGAGGTTGGTTTGGAAGGGGGTAGGTAGGTATTACTTTGAACGGCCACAACGACCACCGCACATACGGCAAATTCCAAAGCAGCGCAATAACAACCACATACGCTGCCATCACTCCTAACGTTACTGCCTGGGCGTGTGTAACACTCAGATCGCGCTTCATTATATGGTGGTCGATGGCCCGTTGGTCGAGGACCATGTAGTGAGGTGCCATGGTTGCGATGAACTTAACGAGAGTTGATTTGAGTTGGACTGTTTGATAAGGCTGGAAATAGATAGAATAGAGATATGCGACAAAACAAATATTCAAAGAAAAGAATGAAGACAAGGCAGCACCGGCGCATATTTAACCTCGTCTCACACACATGCGACCAGCACTACGCGTTCTACTTGGCGTCGCCCTGTAAATTCCTGCTGCTTCGGGTTTAGTTCGTGGCTGGGGCCGTGGGGTATTTTTAGTACGTCTTTACGTGGCGGTGACTAACCCGGCTGTTTTTGAATATTTCACAATCACTATTTAGGTTGCAGGATTTTGTGAAATATTTTGTTTGATAAAACGGAATAGATTTGATCTATCTATTTGTGTATTTTCCGATATTTTCCATATGATTTTATCTCACTAAAGATGTCCTATGCTGACTTGAACCGCGCAGGGTCTCTGAAAGGAATGATATTGCTTTTTCTCCCATTTCAGCCTTGTTGATGGGGTACGTAGATACGCGGAGGGTTTCCGCTGGGTCTAATACTATCTTATCCTATCATATCCTATCGTTTTCCAGTCTGCTTAGTGTTCCACACTTTTTCAACTGGAATTTAGATGGTTTCGCCGGCTTGGCGTTTCACCAGCCTCAAATTTTGGTTTGTTAGAATTGGGCAGTGTTTGGTTTATTAGTATTGGTTTTACTGTAGTTTGGTTGATGGGTAGGGACTATAGATGCACTAGAGATAGATACTTTACAAGTAGAAGATATGTGTGGGTCTGTAGATCTTGTGTATTTTCTGCATGACATATTGGATGAATATATTTCGGATGGATACTAAGCACTTTAATTGGGATAGTATGTAGGTGGACATCCTGCAGAGCCATCTTAAGTATACAGTCTTCATATGATATATTCAGTCCCTACTATAGATTTAGTATATCAATCAAACTGACTGAAATAGTACCATTCCACACACCCCCTCTTTGCCGGCATACACAGCCCAAATCATCTACACACACCCAATAAAACTACTGTCAATCCTCACTCCTAGCAAAATCCTCCCTAACAGTGAACAAAATACCCATCTAGGGCTCCTAATCCCCCCAACGCGTCTCCTAACGCGTGACTCTTGGTCGCCTTATAAGAGTGGATTTTCGCGATTCCTTTTACATCTCGGTCGGGGAGGGGATCTTATTGGTTTGGAGGGTAATATCTGATTAGAATGATTGATCTTGGTAATCTGAGAGTGGGGGTAGTGCGATGGGTGGGGTAGGGCTGGTGTGGGTATTCACTTGGGGGATAGGGGTGCATTGCACTGCATTGTGTTGAGGAGGGTTGAGGGGGTATAAGTGTGGTATGTGAGGTAGTGAGTAGGGGGTTGCTGAGGCGTTCGTTTATGTTATGTCTTTGGGTTGGGAATGGAAGGGATCTGGATGGATTTGGCTACGTGGTGATGTAGATGGAGATATAATATATGGCATTGGTATTGACAGAACATAGTGACAATTTAGTATCCTTGAACAGTGGGCTTGGTGTTAAATGCAGAACAGGCAATATAGGAGGGAAAGTCAACATCGCATATCATAAGAGGGTGAGGTTTGATCCAATCACACAATATCTCCAGCTTTACTCCCTCCCTCGGCTCTCCAAACGATCCAACTAAGGGTGATTGTGAACTTCAAGCCAAAGGCAAACCACAGACTACTCGCCATAGTAGCAACCTTGGACAGTCCCCCTGCAGTCATAGCTCCCAAGAACAATGCCAGGAAGGCCCCAATCCGTCTGTTTCTCTTTGCATTCCTCTTTGCCAGCAGATCCGGGTCGACCAGTAGATCACACAACAAGGTGGTAAGAACTACTGTAGGAATCTCATCATATGCGAGAATCCTTGACGCACAGATCTGTCCACCTGCCTGAAAGGCCAGCAGTGTAATGGGCAGAATCTGCATCCATTGAATTGGAGCCCGGGGATCTTCTGGCTTCGGAGAGACCACTTTGGCCTCAACCAGGATGGCAGCAGCGAGGAGGCAGATGGTCTGGGTGGCGAACGAGAGGATCATGGTAGAACGACGGCGAGGGCTCAGTCTTCTGGCTACCTGGATGAAGATGACGTTGCTGGAAATGAAAGTGCATAGGGCTATGAGTGATTTGGCCCAGAGGTAAGCTGGATATCTAGGCTGGCCGGAAGCACCGAGGGCGATGAAGAGAGTATTCCCTAGATTTCTATTAGAAACCGTTCTCAGCGACTCAGGCCAAATGCTATGGCGTACCTGTCTGCATGCTTGAGAAGCTACCCCATGCGTTAAAGGACAGCCCGTCAACTAGCCCGCTGACAAACCCGCAAACTATCAGAACAATGTCTGCGTATCTGGTATCGATCTCGGCTTTGAAGTGCCGAGTCATAGTTGCATAAAGGCCTCCTTCTACGGCCTGACCGACAGAGAGGGAAACATTAGTGCTATTGCCTGAGGACCAGAGTCCGCCCTTATCTTCGGCAAATTGGAGATGTCCTCTGTTTGTTGTCCTTGCTGCTGGGACTGGTTGAATATCTTCAGAAGGATAGGTCTGCATGATGTAACTAAGGGGTTTGCAAAGAGACTGTGGTAGAGCTGGGTGATTCTGATGGATAAAGTTCCTTAACTCGGGCATCCAACGTGCCGGACGTAGGATCTATATGTGGTAGACACTGCCTGGATCTTCATAATCATGGCGAGCCCCCCGCGTGTCTCCGCGCCAAGTTGGATCATCACTCGTCCTAACCTTCGACTCGATACTCCCATCGGAGAGACGCACGTTTGGCATTATCCTCGTGGTTGGTCTTCACCGCCGCTCTGGACGTTTCAGTTTCAGCCCAATATGCGACACAAACACGCCTCATCCTCGCGATTCGAATTGTTCAGGATAGCAATACCGCATCGGACTCATCAGGCGACAATATCCAGGGATTCAGTGTATTCGGTTTTGGACGTATCGTATCCTCCGCCGCGCGCCACCTTGGCACCATCTTGGCAGGTCTGCCAATCCGGTTCCGCTGAGCGGCAGAGGCTCATGCTACCCGTCGGTCGGGAGCTGCCAAGCTTATATTCTCGGCCCTCTTTGTGATTTGGTATCGACTATCCAGTACTGACTGTGAACGGTGGTGGGATCTGGGCAGGTGGCGCACTAGTCCGGGTAGATCCCCATACTATGCGGGATGGAACGGGATGGATGAGCTAGAACCGAATCATGAAGAGTTTCATCGTGTTAGATGCCTTGATAAGCCACATCACGGCGAGATGGCTGGATAGTACTCGTATAAGGACTTTTCAACGTCAGACACCACATCATCAAAACTTGAGCTATCCAACAGTAGACCATAACAGACTTACCCGTCATGCTTCCGCCAGGAGCCAGCAGTAAGTGGCTTTTTGGTCTGTCCAAATCCAGCAAACTTTGATTTCAGTTACCGCTGAGCCACGCTGGGCATTTGTCCAAGACTACTTGGCGTCTCTCTCCAGTGTCGACTGCGAACATTCTGCTCGTTGTAAATGTGAGCCCAGACAAACAGCCCCTCCGGATCGAACAGATGGGGGCGTCCCGTAGCTATATCTCTTATCGCTTCACGCTTCGCTGACCAGTCATGTTTGGGTGTCAAATAGAGCTTGCGCTGACGAAGGCTATTTTCAAGTAAAACACAGGTCACGGAGCAGGCAGCCGCAATCAGCTCGTATTGCCATGACAATCATCATTTGTATGCCAGATACAGGTCGTGGCGTCGTATTTTGCATCACAGATCCACAGGCACTGCCTTGATTGTATTATGTGCACCATAAGGTTGCTGGTATCCGCGGAGGTGATAGATCGTGGAGCGAGAGGACCACTGGTGGTACTGGTAAGTTTCTGGGCTGTTGGCGGATGTTAACGAACTAACCTTCACCTGCCTTGTTTACGGATATGCTGCGTGACGGAGTGCGCTATAGTAGAATGTAGACTCAAAATTGATTGGCAAGTGCAATGAAGTCGTCTCGAGAGGCTTTTCTGCGGTGGAAGTAGCACTGCATGCAGGCCAAGTGATTGATCCCTTTGAGAAGAGCAGGACTCACATGACCGCGCTTGGCGACATTTCTAGCCTGAAGACAAACTTGCTATGGCGCTTAGTTGAATTTACCATTGGACACTCGAAATCATGTCTTCCCTATTATACAGCAAAGGAAGACAACTGCTAATCTCATAATCAATCATGGCTATCGAACTAACATAACAATCATAACTAACGACAATCAAGCCCACATCACAGCAAGAGAGCCGTTCAATTGTACATCCGGATCTTCCACTTTTCATATACATGGACCGACGCAACGGACAGGGGCGCTTATTTGCAGTGTCATGCTGCGCAAGCATAACAGGATAAGTGATGAACACAACGAAAGCAGTCCAGTGACAGACTCCACAACAGACTCCATAACTCCACGCAAGGCCAGCATGATGATTGTGACAAGCACATCAATGGTGTAGACGAAAGGATTAAGATTATGTTCAAATGGGGTATCTTGCCGCATCTCGAGGTATTGACATAGGTGGCATGCGACTACCAACACCAGCAGCTCCTCCTCCTCGCCCAGTACCGGCCCGCAAGTCAAAGTCGGGGTTGTTCTCTAGGAGAACGTCATGCTTCCGCTGAGCTGGAACGGGAGGTGGGCGCCAGCGGGGATTGATAGGCCGCTCAGATATTGATGTAAAGTGGCTTACTTCGCTAGTAGTCGGTGAGCTGGGTCCTTCGGCCATATCTTCCATCGGTTTCCTCTCACCAGTAGCACCTGGTGTCAAGACAGCCGGCAACCGAGGGTTGCCTGCCGCCGACTCGTTGGTAGTAGCAAACCTAGGGTCTGCATCTTCAAAATAGTCCGCTGAAGAAGTTCGAGCATGTTGTCGTGGCCCGTCATATGCATGAACAGGTGAGGGCGAGGGGCCGGCCCGCGGTTCTTCTGGAGCCCACCCGGCACGTGGAGGAACATAGGATCTAGGATTTGTTAGCATCCTAAGAAAAGGTTGGAGAGGATACACAGCTTACGCTGTCCGACTATAGAGGCTTGAGGGACTGATAGGTTCCGGATAGCCATCTGCTGATAGCGCATGTGGCTGGGGTTCGAGGTGCCCTTCATGCGATTCATGGGAGCCCATTCGTCGTGGCTGTGGTTGCATTTCGATGGCCTGGCCGATTGGGCTACCATGATCTGGAGATACTGCCATTCCAATTGGTCCAGGGGACGGCTCCCGCGCGACGGGCGGTGGGTGGTGATAGCCGTACTCATCTTCAGGCGGCGGGGTTGGTCGAGGAGCGGGCCCGGGCATGTAATCACCCGGAGGGGGTCCTCGATAGCCTCGTCCCATCATCCCGGGGTGTCCACCTCGCATGGGACCCATTGGGACACCGTTTGCACCCGGAGGCGGTCCTCGAGGTGGTCCTCTGTAAGGCCCTCCACGGCCATAAGCTCCGCGCGGTGGATAACCACCTCGTCCGCGGGCAAACCCTGGCGGAGGGGGCCCTCTCCGCGAGCCAACACTGCCGTCGGAATACTGATTGCGCAAACGAGGATCGGATGGTGGAGCCTGCGGACCAGAGATACCAGCATCGTCAGGCGTGGAGTTATAGGCCGCCATATCCCTCCGGACGCGGGTGAACTGACTATCGGGCATTGGAGGGTCAGGTTGAACAGTCCGTGAGTTCAGTGGAGTACGGTCGTCATCACTGTCGTGTGTAGTCGTACGGAAAGTAGCAAATGTAGGACCCGTCTCAGATGAAGGTGAAGACCCAGTGATCACAGGTTCCTTTGTATCCATGTTCGCTGCCGCTGCCGCCGTCGCTGCGTTTTGGCGGTTGTAGAAGTTCTCTCCGCTCATTTCAGCGTTTTCGTTGATTCGCTTCTTCCTAGCCTTGCGGCTCACAAGTGTCCGACGCATTGCACATGTGACCACGCCGCAAGTGACAAGTAAAATGGTCGCAACTAAGACAATCCATCCTGCCCAGGCCATATGCGGTACAAACAAGAGAATATCGACGAGGAAGGCGAGGAGTGACACAAGAAGGGTAGGAAGCAGTAGAATCAACAAGGCTAGCAAGTAGCGGGGCGAGTGCGACGGTGCATGAAAATGAGCCGCTGCTGCCATACATAGACATACAAGTGTGAGGAAGGCCGCGACGGGATGGACGATCAGAATGGCCGAGAGCGATCGGCGGGTGCCAGGCGCAATGCTGAATGTACCGTCTTCGGAAGTAATATCATCTGAACTGGAGTCAGCTGCGGTTTAATGCAGGAGTTTAGCGGTCTTGACGAGATTGAGATCAAAGGCACAAGAAGAGGGCGACGAACCGTCGGCGTAACCAACATGAATGCTGGTGCACACATCGCCTTTGCAGTATCCAAACACGCCATAATCGATATTATCATGTCTCGCAAGCGCAATGCTTTTGACGATAGGGGTGGAGATGACTGAGATGAGGAGAAGCGCAAATGCGATCAGGAGGAGGATGGTGAGGGGAGTGGCGGGTTTGAGCAGCATGGCGATTAAGGGAGCGGAGCGGCGCTGCGGCCGCGATAAGAAAGGTTGGCGGAGAGACCAAGAGCGAACAAGAGGCAGCTCTGGCGAGCAGCCCTTGGAACTAACTATCTAGAATAGTGGGAAGAATAAGAGAGAACCTTCATTCGAGAAGGGGAATCCGGGGGAGGGAGGGAGGGATTGGGAACCGAAAGAGAGGACCGAAAGAACGACTGGGTTGAGTTGGATGGTGAATGAACGGATGGCCTGGACTGCGAAAGGCTGTGAGATGATCGAAGGGGAAGACAGTCGGCATCAGCCGCTCGTGATTGGTGAGGGGCCGCCTGTTAACTTAGTCAGTAAGTCATTCTCCGCCACGGTGCAACTCTCAATCCCGTCACTCCGTCAGTCACAATCCACTCTTCATTCTTGCCTTCCCATCAGCTTGTTCTGTTCCCTGCCGATCAGCTGCATCCTAGTTTTCAATTCACATTCATCCTGGTGGCCTTTATTCCCTGATTTTTAATTTTTCCATTTCGCCTCTATCCGTTGACCTTGCTGTCTTTTTCGTCCTCCCGTCTCCTACCGTGGCTAAGCCGCCTATGCGCATCCACCAGCCTTGAAAAGCGCAGTAAGCAATGCCCCCCTGTTCCCACGGAAAGGTATCTTTTGATTCGCTGGACCGCAGATAACGATAATGGGGCCGGGTCCCACGCACCACGAGTCCAACTTGTCTGAAATGACGATGGGCCCGTTTGACATCTCAAAAGCTCGGACGAACCACCCTATGCTGCGCAAACAAATTGGCTCAACTCCATAATCGGGATTTCTCTGGGGTTCTAAGCTACTAATAATAGACCCTTGAACAATTCTACGTAATGGCACATGCGTAACGACTAACGAACAAACCGCCTTCCAACGCACTTTCGCACACATCGCAAGTCCAGGTGGAACGTCCCGTCTGACCCCATCTCCCGTCCAGGTACAATCTGGTTTTTCCTAAGCCTATCTGGTCACTCGTGCCGCAGACTTGTTTTAGCCAAGGACCGGTTGGAGTTAGAATCAACTACCGCGGGGAGAGAAATTCGGATCCCCGAAGCATACCCACATAAAATAAACAAGCGAGATTTCAACGGACTGGACCCACGGAGGCAGCAGCCATTGCATTCTTCCTAAGGCTCGCCGTAGGGATTTTCACATGAATCGGATAATACGTCAGGGGCATACTCTGACAATCTGCTGACAGGCACACATTCTTACCCTGACAGTATGTGCTGTTTGCCGTACACTGCATCGAAAATCAGCGGGACAATGAAACGGGCTTTACCCCCTGAAATTCCTTTGACGATCGGGTCTTAGTTCTAGTACCTGCGAAGGCCCTTGACCTTGCACGCGAACATTGACCAACCAGCACACATACTTTTTTCAATCTTAGCTTTAGACCACTTTGTAAATTGGGCTAGCACCCTGCCCCCCAAATGCCATCTTCCGTTATCTTTGAGATAAGCTACGGAAAGCAAATAGGTAGCAACTTTCTGGATTATGTATATTTGACAACTCTAAACATAGTCCACCTTCGGAGCTCCGAAACGTGAGTGGGGAATATTGCTCGACACTCAGACACGTCTTGGCCATCGAGCGACAGTGGACCATAGTAAACTGTCGCAGAATACCAGTGTTTCGTGTCCAACAAGATGGGATAGTTTTTACATGGCTTTTAGGCAGGCCCCTCGCAGCTATCTTAGAATGAACTGAGTACTCACTTGTCAACAGTTGAAAAATCACCCGGTGAATTCAGTTTGAATCAACATTCTCCCCCCATGTTTCCAACCAAACCAGCCTAAGGCTCCAACACTGCCAGTACCCGCCAAGTCATAGCCGACCGCAAAAGGATAATAAAGCAGATCCTACAGTGCAGGGTTTCCGCTTACACGGAGTAATCTTGGAATATTCCAGCTGTGCCATTCACTAAGTAACGAACCTGAAGACGCCATCTATCAGCTAGAGCTAGAACCTTCCGTCCTGCAGATGGATATCTCAGCTTTGCCTTTGGAGGGCAGTTTTCTTCATGGCGTCCCTGGTCACGTGAAGAGGCCATGGTGAGATCAAGACCTCCCATTATCCCTGACACCCCTTAGCAAAGGGGTTAACAAATGTTGAGAACGCTATGTAGATCAAGGCCACTGGGTAATATTCATATCCAAGGCTTCGCGGGCTGCGTAGAGGTGCGTAATCGTGCATGTGACCTTCACATACCTGCTAATCGGATGCCTCGACTAAAAAGAAGAGACGTGCCTGTACGGAGCAATAAAAGAATACTGGGATACTATGGAGCCAAAGGGAATCCTTGCCATCCTGCTTATATCGTCCCGGGGCAGCTTTCTGATCTGACATCTGTAACTTCCCTTTGATACTGCTCTCCAGACCATACCTTCAGATTCTGGTAGGCTCTGACTTTCCATAAGCTAGGAGCAGCTCCTGCCCATCCTCTTCATTTGCTGCTACTACCTCAATCACATCATCAGATTCTGGTAGACTCTTTCCAAAATCTTCCAGGCTCTGCTGTGTGATCTCATTCGCATAAATATCTCTATATGCTGTTGCTGCCTTGATCACATCTTCAGAGACTATTATGCCTCCTCGTCCACAATGTTCTAGGAGCTGCTCCATGATCATATGCCCACAGAATCCCCTGTTCCATGCTGCTCCCTTGATCACTTCTTCAGAGACCGGTAGGCTTTCTCCGCAGTGTCGCAGGAGTTTCTTAATGATCCCATACCCATAAAGTCCTTCATTTGCTGCTGCCGCCCTGACCACATCTTCAGTGACCGGTGGACTCTTTCCACAGTATTTCAGGAGCCGCTCCAGTACTATGAACCCCAAAAGTTCTTCATTTGCTGCTGCTGCCGCAACCACATTTTCAGAGACTGGTATGGTGTCTCCACAGTGACCCAGGAGCTGCTCCACAATTATGATCCCATAAAGTCTTCCGCGTGCAGCAGCTGCCTCAATGATGTTCTCAGGGAGTGGTATCCTCCCTCCAAGATGTTGAATGGCCTGGTATAGCTCGTTATCCGGGGCCCTGGTCCCATTTTGTTTCAGTATTTGCATCATGATGTCTTCTGAGATGAGTGATATGCCTTGTAGTCTTTTTTCCTTCTCGGAAGCTTTCTCTTGGTAATGTGGTACCACGTAGATGAGATCCTTATGGTCGTCATTGTCTTGATTATGTTTTCCATCGGCTGATGATATGTCCCAAACCAAAACGATGTCGCGAAGAGAGCCTTGTGCAGGGAACCCCATTTGGGTGGAAACTTCATTAGACCTTTCCATATTGTCATATGACTGAAGTACTGTTGTGCTCATAATGACAGTGAAATAACCCCTGCAGAGTCGAACGATGATTGGACTTGAGGCACCCTTCAATAGAAAGATAATATTACCTTCCTTCACTGATTCCGCAGAAGCGTTAAGGTTCCACTTAGTGCCCCATTTGGTTTCGTAACCTAGAGCACGAGCGGTATTATTGTACTTTACCTCAAAGTGTTGACTACCATACTTGAGAAGGATCTTATCAACAAAGCCAACATAACCTAGAACCAATCCTTTTTCTTTGATCACAGCAACTAGTGACCCAGGCCATGTCTCCACAGAGCATAAACTTGGGAATACATGCATAATGACCTGCATGAAGACCTCATTCCATGGAAGACGATAGTTGGGTTTCAAACCAACCTCTTCAGGATCTTCGACGCACAGGCCTAGCAATGAGTATACCTTGTCATGTAGAATAGTTGCCTTGTGAAAGCGGTACATGTCAATCAGTTCACCTATAGCAAGTGTTCCACGGGGATCAATTTCATATCTTGGTCTGAGAAACGAGCCCCTAATCAGGTGAAGGACTGGGTAGGTAAAGCTTGGCAGAGAGAGTAGGGAGTGTTGGAGGCCTTCACAGAAAACATGCCCATTTATTTCAACGGAGCCACAGAGGATGGAAATGCATCGGGCGACACCAACCTCCTGGAGTACCTATAATAATTGGTTAGATATGCATACATATAAAGCTTATTCAATGCTTTCTTACCCATGTACGTTGGAACCAATCGCGCTGTAATAATCTTGAACATGGATCCAATAAGCTATCATCGCATGGGATACTAGCTGCTGCCCAGCGCTGAATAGTCTTGAGTGCTTCATCACCATCCCGCATAGCCTCTCCAAGCCAGACAAGAACGCGATCAGCTTGTGCATAAATCGACCGCATAAGAGGGATATGCTCGCTCTTCTCATCATCATCCCCTTGATTGATACATATTGCATCAATCCAAACTATTCTCTCTAGCTGATTGTCTCGAAGGTGTACCAAGGCTGTGTAAAGGTTCCGTGTAACCTGAAAATCACACCCATCCACAATAATTGTATGTGTCTCACTTTGGCTGCCCCATACGTAGGACAACGCCTCATAGAGATGCTTTCTACCAGTGCTCTCTGGCAGTCTATAGATGATGAGCTCGCATCTTATCGGGGTATCGTTTTTCTCGGATGGTAGAAGACGGACGAGGCGTGTAGTATTCGGCCCGAGCTGAAGCTTGGAGTAGTCAAAGGGGACCATTCTCTCCACTTAAGTGGTGTATTTTGGGTTTACGTTTGTATAGCAGTGAGTGTGGGGGTATATCCTTTTTGATTTTTATCTAGTAAGATACACCAGGTGGGTTTTAGGACTAAAAGGCGACATATATGGGTGTTGTAGCATCCAACCGTTCTCGATCGGGTTTCTAAGGAAGTATACTTACCCCTCATTGTTACTAAATTGAATGAGTTGGCATACATGACGTGGCCAGGATCAACATCGTTTCGGATTAATGATGGCCCGAGTGAATGTCCATAGTATTTTGACTGTCTAAACTACGGAGTCCTATTGCCAAGGATAATACTGAAGATTGAACAAGACCCTTAGACAAATTTTGCTTAATCTACGAAGTGGACTATATCTAAATCCGAACTAGGACCAGGCTATACCTAGTTACCTACACTATTGTATTCGTATCATTAGTGGCATTCTAACTCAACGCACAGGCCTCATGGCACTATGTACACGTCTCGGATATACACATTGCACCAACTGCATCTATCCACCGGCCTAGCCGAATTATTACCTGCAAATGACTGTAGTCAACCAGAAAATAGTCATCAACACACATTCTCCACATGCAAAAACACCCCCGGCAATCCAGACCCTTTACATACGGCCAGATGATCCGACACCCGGACCACCGCCTGTCGCACAGAAACGGTTAATCCGATGGGTCCGCAAACAGCAACAGCTATTTCGCCTCTAGCTTGCAAGACGGCGTCCTCGATGTAGCCATCGAACGAAGGTCTTCCCTGCGCGAAGGAGATACTTGGGGGTCCTGAGGATTCGAGGGCCGAATCGGGGTCTGTGCAGGGTGAAGAAGGGGTTATTTGTTCGATTTTGTCGACATCGTCACTGTTGTTAGAGCAGGTGCAGGGATCTGTGCAGGCACAGGTCTGTTTTTCATTGTTGAATTTGCTGTCGCTATCTGGGAGGCAAACAGAGTCTTGTGTTATGAATATTCTCACCCGGATCTGGATATTTGTGTTCTGTAGCTTCTGCATCGCGCCTTCAAGCTCGGCCAAAACCCATGACGCTTGGCGGCTTTCTTTGATTACCCAGATGAAAAGCACTTGGCGGAGAGGCAACGACCCGTTTGTGGAATGGTGTGCGACGTGGAGAAGCTGGGATAGGTTGAATGTTACACCTGTGCCACCTGCGAGGAACAGGACGGAATCGAAAGATGTGAAGTCTGGAGCAGAGCTTGCGTAGGGACCATCGAGTAGAGCGGTGTATGAACGCTTGGTTTGTGGGGATTCGACGTCTTTGGAGCAGTTTCTGGTAGCTTCTGCGGTGTTGATCAGCTTTCGCGTAAAGCCCTTGTGGGCTCTTAGAACAAGGACTAGTTCGCCGTCGTGGGACGATGGTATGGATGAGATGGTTGCTGGGTGTGAGAGCTGGAGCCCTAAGCGCGGGAGAGATAGAAGGATGTGCGACCCGGGCTTCCAGTTACGGATCTTGCGAGCAGTAATTCGGACCTTGGTCGCGCCGCCTTCCAGGGGTTCTAGTATGGCTCGTGCGGGGCGAGAGTTGATGTAGCTGTAGTAGACGAATCGCAGGATCAAACCAGCGACGTAGATACCGACGGTGACGTAGATGTAGCGCTGAGCGTTAGGGGCTGGGCTGGTGTCCAAATGATAGGAGAGGGCGATGATGAAACCGAAGAACGTGATGATGTGTTGTACGACGAAGAACTCGTAGCTCATATGTCGGAAGGGGGCTAACGTTGTGAGATTCATCCATAGGATGAAAGCGTAGGCGGCGATACCCTTTGTGGGACAGTCATCTGTGTCCCACTCCAGTCTACTTATATGATAAATATCCCACCCATGGTTTTGAAAGGCGAAATGGAAAGTCGAGAGCAGCAGGAGCCCTCGAGATACCCAGCGATGGTAGATGTTCAGTCGGACATAGGGTATGCCGCAGAGCATACCGATCAGGTTTCTTTTGCCTGCCAAGGCTACAAGGAGGGGAATCTGGGCAGCTGCAAGCCATCCAGCGCGGACTCCGAGAAACTGCCAATACCCAGCGCCTGCAACATCGTTGTTGACGAACTCTAGAACGATGATGAAGACAAAGTATATGAGGATGATATATATCGGTCCGAATGGCGGGATCTTGAACCAAGGTGACAACGCACGGGGGGTCCACTGGAGATAAGATGGCTCCCGAACCAGCGCTGTGGTAGTTGCGAGTGTTGACGAAGCGATATTGGCAAGGTATAAATTTTTGGTTATACTAGGATGAAGCCTTTCCGCAACACCGGCTTATCAGCATCATATCCGAGCCAAGTTACCAAAAAAAAAAAAAAAAAAAAAAAAAAAAGGGAGAAAGAGGGGACGCC